TTTATTACAATAAAAAAAAAAACATTTTTATTACTTTTTAAAACCACAATGGAATAATATTGAATTAATTCAAAGGACCAGTTTATTATTATTGTTTGAACGACATTACTTATAGACCGATATTGACGCATTGATTAAATTAACCTGTCGTCTTAAATGTGAATCCTTCTTAAATATTATTATTTCTTCTTTATTTTCTCGTTTAATTCTTTTCAAGGTTAAATGATTTTTACAAATATTCCACATCTCAAGTACTTTGATGACGCAAAAAGTTTTAATTTTAGATTTTTATTTGTGTTAATTATTTTTTTACTTTTATTCCTCTTATCGATAAATCGATCACAACAATTTGTTTATAAACAATTGTATGAGAGAGTTTGTGCGTTTTTTTTTGTCAACTGTCAATATTTTTAAAATTTTATTGTTTTTTTTTTTAAGAATTGATCTTTTAATATTTAATTAACATAGATTTATTTTTATTGACAATATAATATGTTTATTATTAATTTATTTTTATTAAATGGTTTTTTTTTTTTTTTTAATATTGCCTACTTTGTTGTTACTACTACAATCAATAAACGGTAGTTTTATGGTCTTTTAGTTTGTAACTCAGATTTTCTTAACATTTCGTTTGTCTCTTGTATTTAATAGTTAAAATTTTCAAATTCAAATGGACACGTTGTCTAAGAAATTCACAAATACTAGCTCAAACATTTGTTTGTATTTCTTAAAAAAAAAAAAATAAATTTAGCTTAGACAGTTTTTAAAGCTGCCGCCCCTCCTCCCTTTTTCCTCTGTGTAAATAAAGAAAAAAAAAGCATGTCAATTGAAATTCAAAATTTTTTGGGGTTTTTTAAGCGTCATTCATTTCTTTTACTGGTCAAAAAATAAATATAAACTAAAGTAAATAAAATAAACAAACAACAACAATTATTTCAAAAAATAACCATAGTCACATTGTGTATGTTTTATTAACCGGTTTTAATAAGCTTTTCCTTAAGATTACACTGAAAGAAATTGTAGGTAAAGTTTAATTTGTTAACGGAGAGTAATTATTTTTTTGATGAAATTAAAACAGAATGTTTGGATAAGTCGATTCTTTACATAAAAGTCAATAGACTAGTCCATAGTCTAGTAGACTAGTCCTTGGTTTAGTCAACAGCCTAGTGCATAGCAATAGGCAAGTAAATAGACTTAATACTTACTCTATAGAGTAGTCCCTTTACTAGTCAAGAATCTAGTGTATTTACTAGACTAGACAATGGACTAGTCAATATATTAGTCAATAGAATAGTTCATAGATTAGTCAATAGACTAGTCTCTATATTAAGCAGTCGACTAGTTAATAGTCTAGTCAATAGACTAGTCTACATACTAGTCAGTAAACTAACTTATAGTCTACTCAATATACTAGTCCATAGTCTTGTTTAGTCAATAGACTAGTACATAGCCTTGCCAATAGACAAGTACATAGACTTAGTACTTAGTCTAGACTAGTCCACTTACTAGTCAATAGGCTGGTATATTTACTAATTAATAGATTAGTCAATATAATAGTCCATAGATTAGTCAATAGACTTAGTACTTACATAGACTTAGTACTTAGTCTAGACTAGTCAATAGGCTAGTCTATTTACTAGTCAATATATTAGTGAATATAATAGTCCATAGGTTAGTCAATAGACTAGTTAATATATTAGTCGATGGAATAGTTCATAGTTTAGTCAATAGACTAGTCAACAGACTAGTCTTTATACTAGTCAGTAGACTAGTTCAAAGTCTTGTCAGTGGGCTAGTTCAAAGTCTTATCAGTAGACTAGTCCATAGTCTAACCGATAGACTAGTTCATAGTCTAGTCGACAGAATAGTCCATAGTCTAATCGATAGACTAGTCCATAGTCTACTCGATCTATCTAGTAATCAATCGACTGGATAGATAGGTAGGTAGATAGATATATAGATTAGGCTTCGTTTCAAAAAACAAAATGTTTCCCGTTTTTGTGATATCACAACTTTTAAAAAGGTTTTTGTATCAGTGATCACAATGCTGTAATATTTTTTTCAAAATTCCAACTCCTTCATCTGCATATCTGAGGCGGAAACCACTGATTTTGAGCGACATTTTTTACAGAGAAGAATCTGCAGGATTAATAGTAAATCATGCTTTAATAATTGATTTTATAGGACAAATCGGTAAGAATGAGTTCAATTTCACACTTTTATAATGCTCCAAAAGTGCATTTAGAATTAGCCAAAGATGCACTCTTTTCAAAAAATATTTCAAAAAAATTTTTTCTTTACAAATAATCTAAGTATGCTTTTTGCTGAAAAAAATGGTGTAAAAACAAAAATTCTATCATTAACCCTCTAGATGTGATCAGACTTAAAATTTTCAGATTTTAAACTTTACAACGCTATATTTTGAAAACCACGAAAGTTATAAGGGCCAAAATTTGTCATTATACCAGTTATATATGGAACATGAATTGGGTGGAGTTTTATTAAATTCGGAGGTGATGATGAAAAACAACATTGTTTGATGGGAATTTATTAACCCACAAGTTAACATTATAACCATCATAACTCCTAAACGGATTACAATAAATTAAAAATTTTAACACTATTTTTGAAAGGCATTGAATATTATATTTTCGAATGATAAAATCAAGTTTTGAATTTTTTTTTTTAAATTGCATTTTTTCTTTTGCTCTTATGCATTTATAGTGCATCCAAATTCTGTCAAATTAAGTTGATATATCTTAAATTTTCCTGTAGAATAGTATACTAAAGTCGGATTTGAAATATGTTCAGCAGTTTTCGGTTTATCAAAAATTTGTCGCCCAAAATCGGTGTTTTGACCGCAGATATGCAGATGAAGGATTTGAAATTTAATAATAATAATTACACCAATATTAGTGCTGATCCAAAAACTTTCATAAAAGGTATGATATCACAATTTCAAAATATTGCGTGAAGCCTAATATAGCTAGATAGATAGATAGATGATAGATAGATAGATAGATAGATAGATAGTAGATAGATAGATATAGATAGATAGATAGATAGATAGATAGATAGATAGATAGATAGATATAGATAGATAGATAGATAGATAGATAGATAGATAGATAGATAGATAGAGATAGATAGATAGATAGATAGATAGAGATAGATAGATAGATAGATAGATAGATAGATAGATAGATAGATAGATAGATAGATAGATAGATAGATAGATAGATAGATAGATAGATAGATAGTAGATAGATAGATAGATAGATAGATAGAGATAGATAGATAGATAGATAGATAGATAGATAGATAGATAGATAGATAGATAGATAGATAGATAGATAGATAGATAGATAGATCGATAGATAGATAGATAGATAGATAGATAGATAGATAGTAGATAGATAGATAGATGATAGATAGATAGATAGATAGATAGATAGATAGATAGATAGATAGATAGATAGATAGATAGATAGATTAGATAGATAGATAGATAGATAGATAGATAGATAGATAGATAGATAGATAGATAGATAGATAGATAGATAGATAGATAGATAGATAGATAGATAGATAGATAGATAGATAGATAGATAGATAGATAGATAGATAGATAGATAGATAGATAGATAGATAGATAGATAGATAGATAGATAGATAGATAGATAGATAGATAGATAGATAGATAGATAGATAGATAGATAGATAGATAGATAGATAGATAGATAGATAGATAGATAGATAGATAGATAGATAGATAGATAGATAGATAGATAGATAGATAGATAGATAGATAGATAGATAGATAGATAGATAGATAGATAGATAGATAGATAGATAGATAGATAGATAGATAGATAGATAGATAGATAGATAGATAGATAGATAGATAGATAGATAGATAGATAGATAGATAGATAGATAGATAGATAGATAGATAGATAGATAGATAGATAGATAGATAGATAGATAGATAGATAGATAGATAGATAGATAGATAGATAGATAGATAGATAGATAGATAGATAGATAGATAGATAGATAGATAGTAGTAGATAGATAGATAGATAGATAGATAGATAGATAGATAGATAGATAGATAGATAGATAGATAGATAGATAGATAGATAGATAGATAGATAGATAGATAGATAGATAGATAGATAGCTAGATAGATAGATAGATAGATAGATAGATAGATAGATAGATAGATAGATAGATAGATAGATAGATAGATAGATAGATAGATAGATAGATAGATAGATAGATAGATAGATAGATAGATAGATAGATAGATAGATAGATAGATAGATAGATAGATAGATAGATAGATAGATAGATAGATAGATAGATAGATAGATAGATAGATAGATAGATAGATAGATAGATAGATAGATAGATAGATAGATAGATAGATAGATAGATAGATAGATAGATAGATAGATAGATAGATAGATAGATAGATAGATAGATAGATAGATAGATAGATAGATAGATAGATAGATAGATAGATAGATAGATAGATAGATAGATAGATAGATAGATAGATAGATAGATAGATAGATAGAGAAGTACTTTCAATGTATATTGAAATTTCCTTTCAGAGCGCTTTTGCTTAGTCCCTTCATTTTACCATAATTTCCGGAATAAAAGTTCAATAAAACGGAAGTAAAAATATAGAACAAAGAATGATGAATGTCAATTGAAAATACTGATGTCAATCGCCAAGTAATGCATTTATTTTAAATTCTATTTTTACAAAACAATTTTCCAGAAAGATTTGTTTACATTAAACAAAACTTGTTGACTTAATATAGCAATCATTGTTACGCCATGTAGAATATGTAAATAAATACGTACGTTTTTTGTTTGTAAAATTTACATTCGACTTATTTTATTTTTCTTGCCTTTCTTTAATTCTAATTTCGTCGAAGATGATTTATTGTTTGTGTTGATTTTTTTACAGTGTAGCTGTAGTAACACATTTGGTATATAAAGACTTAACAAAATTGAAATTGAGTATAATATTGTTTAAACCTTTAAACATAACAGTTATCAAAAAAAAGTAAGTGATTTTTGAAAAAAGAAGAGATTTGTCTACTATTAACAAAGTGTTAAATTTTTTATAAAATAAATACCCAGAGTTTATTCGCAAGAAATAAGAAAAAAGTGAAAAGTGTGAAATTTGAAAAAAAAGAAATTTGGATTGTTAAGATAATTTTTAAAAGAATTATTTATTTGAAACTAAGTTAATTTTAAAAGTTGAATATCAAAGTTTTAAGGTTTTTTATTAATAAATCCATTAACAAAATCAATACATTTTAATATTTACTTTTTAAAAAATACGTTTGTTTACCGTTATTTTGTATGTCAACAATGTCAGTTTCCATTTAAGGCATTTCACCTTAAAAAAAAAACACCTAAAAAATAGTACGATTGTGTAAAATTGTAAATTTTGTATGCATTTCAGGTTTTGATATTTTCAAGTAGTTTTTTTTAAATAAATATTTACCTAAAGTGAAATTAAATTAAAGCAATTTGAAGGTTTTAAGTGTTTTTCTATACAAAAAAAGTACCTTGATTTGCTCTAAAAAAGGTGCTTAAAGCCGTACCTAAGCGTTTATTTTTTTCTTTTATCGGAAAACATTATGTAATCGATTACATGCGATAATAATATTAAATTGGAAAAAAGAAGCAGACATAAGCCATAACATAAGTAAAAACCTGTCAACCTGTGTATGGTGGTTTAGTTGGTTTTTTCTTTCTTGGCTTATCTCTTACTCTCCAAAATGTTTCATAATAATTTAATTTCATTTTTGTGTTTAAAACGCTCTTGGTTGGGTGTTTATGTTTTATATATATTTTTTTTACAATATATGCTTCTTTCTTGATTCCAGATATCGAACAAAATGAAGACAACTTTTGCCTGTTTATTGGTGGTAGTTTGCTTCGCCTTAGTGGCCGCTCAAAAACAATACACCAACAAATTCGATAATGTCGATGTTGACAGCGTTTTGGGTAACAATCGTATTTTAACCAACTACATTAAGTGTCTGATGGATAAAGGACCTTGCACACCCGAAGGACGTGAATTGAAAAGTGAGTACAAAGAAGATTTCCTGTTTGAACAAGATGTCAGATTTAGTTTTTGAAAGGTGTTTATGACAGATATGTCAGATTAAAAGATTTTGTATATAGTGAGACATCCATGTCGCAATGTTTCCTTTAAATATGTAGTTCTTTGCTTTTTGTAACTAGAGTTTTAAACGGTGACTGTTAAAATCTTTATACAAAAAGAATCTCTTACGTATAATCTCTCCATATATCATAAGTCGCGGTTCACACTCTTGTATTAATGTTGCTCAACTATTGAGTTCAATGGAGATAGGGAAAGAATTGCTATTGATTCGTAGTTATTTGTACTGGCGATTTTGTCCGTTTCGTTTTCTCATTGGTACGAAATCAATTCAATGCAATCAATTCTTAGTTAGCGGAATAAATATTTATCTGGCGAGTTGTCAGCCTTGATCCATACAGGGTAAGATCACTGGCTAATTTAGATTGTATTAAAAAACTTCATAAAATCCGTCCGTATTTGTCTGAATTATAATGCATTACTTTGAAGTCATTATAACAGCCGATTATTTTCTTTTTGTTCATCAGAATTTATCTCGAAGCTGTCAAACTTCATCTGAAACAAAGTGTCTATACTTTACGGGATTCATTAGTGACTTCAACTTGTATAAATTCTCCTTGAAATTTATAATCGATTCGTCTTGGTATGGACATTAAAATGAGTATTAAAAGGAAGCATTACGAAACCCAACTTCGATAACCGCTTTTGCCAGTATTGCACATAGAAATTCCGAACCACCTCCAGGAGTAACGAGAGTTTATACTGATGCCTCTAAGAGGAGTGGAAGAGAGGGTGGTGGTTTCTCTATAGGATTTGGTATTAAATCATTCTTTAGACAGTCTTACTACGGCAGTGTTTTATAGGCAGAAATGAGAAATGAGAGAGATATCTAGGATTACGATAAATATCAGTCTAACTGTATATTTAATAAATTACCCATTAGCGCCGCAATGTAGGATGAGGAAGAAATCGACGCCTTTACTGGTATCTCTCTTACGAACTGTCAGAGTCTTGTTCTTAATGAACTATATGGGGAAGCCCAAATCAGGTGGTTCAGTGAAACCACCTGTCAGATCTCGAGGCCTATTTGGCCTCTATGATCTCAGATCAAGACTGCCCATAGGCTTTCGAAAAGAGCATATAAGAACGCTTGTATTAGTAATTACAGGACACTGTGTCATAGGCACGCACGCCAGGAAACTACAGCAGAAGTTGTCATAATGAGAAAGAAAATGAGACGATATCGCATCTACTTTGCTATTGCCCTTCACTGAAAGCAGGGAACATTACTTTGGTGCTTCCTTCTTGTTAGGCATGGAGGAGCTTTCTAGGTCTGAATAGGTCCATGTTCCATAAATGAAACCGGTTGGTTTAGTTTAAAACACACTCTTGCGACCACTAGGGTAACACAACGAGACCAACTTAAATGGAGCCAAGTGAGCTGCTTCTGTAGCAGCTGCCCTCGATACCTAACCTATTCTGTGATAGTTCCCTTCCCTCTAGGATACTTTTGCTTGGTACCTTTATTTTACAAAAACATCCGGAATGAAAGTTCAATAAAACGGAAATACGGAAACAAGAACAGATGAATGACAGATTAAAAATACCTGATGTCAATTCTAAAGAAATGCATTTATTTTAAATGACAATTCTCTTTTTCTTGGGCCGATCTACTATACGAATTATATTTGTTATAGTCTTTTATCTAGAGTATATAATAATCTATTGTTTTAAGACTATTCTCTGAGTAATTCTATTGTGTAGAGTATGAACTAGTTTATTGTTTAGTCAATAGACTTTTGTCTAGTCTTTTTTCTAATCTATTGTTTAATTTATAGACGTTTGACTAGTCTATAGACCAGTTATTGTCTAGAATAAGTCTTTCATCTAGTCTACAGACTGTAATTTAGACTAATCGATTTTTTATTCAATAGACTAGTCTATTGTTTAGAATATAGAATAGTTTTTTTTTATCTAGTATTTTCTGTAGTCTATAGACATAGGAATTCAAATTATTATGGCCCAGCATAAGTGACACTACTTCTGACACAGATCTAATAAAGAATTGAAGAAAACCCTCAAACTCTAAAAAACAAACATAATCTAATTTCTTAATTCTACCTTCTAGAACTCTTGCCCGATGCCCTACAAAGCGATTGTTCCAAATGTACCGATGTCCAGAGAAAGAATTCCCAAAAGGTCATCAATTTCTTGCGTGCCAACAGACCCGGTGAATGGAAATTGCTTTTGGACAAATACGATCCCAGTGGCAACTACAGAGCCAAATATGAAAAACAAGGTTAAGTCCTAAAGCAACAAATGAATTTCAACAAGTTAATTTCTTATTTTTTTAAAAACAAATAGTTTAAATACAATTTTAGATCTTTTAAAGTCATCATAAATAAATTATATATAAATTTTTTTATACATTTTGATACATTTAAGAAAAACGTGTTTCATCTTCACCAATTGAAGTTAATAATAAAAAAATATTTAAAATAAATTTCTAAAAATTTTATTAAATTATAATTTATAAAAGAAAATTGTTTAATTTTTAATAACTTAATATTAATTACTTAAGAATTAGTAACTTACGATTAGAACTTATTTACTACGTTTGCAGCATTTTTGGTAAATATCTCTCAAAGTTAATTGTTTTACTAATAAATAGATCTTAAGATAACAATATAAAGCTAAAATTACAAATAGAGCCATTAAAATTGGCTGTAAGACAGGAACTATTTTAACATTAAACTTAATTAAGAATTGAATTATTGAGGGTAGATCATCCAAGTCCTGTAAAGAAGATGAAGAAGGAGAAAGAGAGAATTAGAGATTTGATCAATGAATTATAAAAGTATGTAATCACATCTTAGGAAGAATCCTAATTTCTTATTCTTATCGATCTGGGGCCGAATTACCGCATATGTGATCGAGTAAAATTGATCGTAGTTTTCTTTTCTTAAATAAAAATCAATATCAAAATAGAAATCTGGTACATTTAAGCTTATTTTTAATACGAAAGCTTATTCGATTACGTCTGCGGTAATTCGGCTCCGATGTTGCGATAAAAATGTCTAAAGATTATTACAAAATAACTAGTTTATATACTTACATATTCATACCAAAATGATGGTATAATCATATTGCTAAACTTTTGTAGCTCTCTATTATAGCCCTTCATATCGGGCATGGGAATGTTTGATTGAAATCTATATTTCTCTTCAATCGGTATACCCGTCACCGGTTCTAATATAATATGAGCCTCATGTTCTTCCTTATTAGGATTAAGACCCTCATAATGGGCAGAGTAATTATATTCAGAGCCATAGAAATGGGGAGCCGAAAATGCCGAGGGTACATCATCTGTAAATGAGCCGAAAATTTAAATAAAATCTCTTTAACAAAAACAATCACACTTACTTATCAAACACTTGGAGACATCAAATAATCCCTTGGGAAGTTTTATACCCATGGAATAATCCAAGCAGCCAGAACTATCACCACTTTCACCAATCGTATAGCGATAACTTTTCAGACCCATATATTCCACAATCTGATCGTATTTCATTTTTAAAGTGCGACAACTTTCTATGGCGACTATATTGAAATCTCTACCCTCTGGCACATTGGGTGGAAATAGCGAGTTATCAAAGGCATTATCCAATTTGATGGGACAATAATCATCTGATCTACGATCTCGCTTCAATTGGGCACTTCTCTCCGAAAAATATGTTTTATTGTTGAGTGTATTGACACGAAAGAAATTTTCCATGCCATTGTCGAGCCCTATGCGAACATTGTATTCTTCATTCTTTTCACGAAGGGCCTGGAAGATTGAGAAATATATATATAATGCAATAAACACAAATTTTTACCACGAATTTGTTCAATGGAACCAGAAATCGTACTGCAAAAGAGGGAGGAAAGCAAACGAACGAACGAACGAACGAACGAAACGAACGAACGAACGAACGAACGAACGAACGAACGAACGAACGAACGAACGAACGAACGAACGAACGAACGAACGAACGAACGAACGAACGAACGAAACGAACGAACGAAACGAACGAACGAACGAAACGAACGAACGAACGAACGAACGAACGAACGAAAACGAACGAACGAACGAACGAACGAACGAACGAACGAACGAACGAACAACGAACGAACGAACGAACGAACGAACGAAGAACGAACGAAAGAACGAACGAACGAACGAACGAAACGAACGAACGAACGAACGAACGAACGAACGAACGAACGAACGAACGAAACGAACGAACGAACGAACGAACGAAAACGAAAACGAACGAACGAACGAACGAACGAACTAACGAACGAACTAAACGAACTAACGAACGAACGAACGAACGAACGAACTAACGAACAATAACGAACTAACGAACGAACTAATAACTAACTAAATCTAACACAACTAACTAAACTAACTAAATAACTAACTAACTAACTAAATAACTACTAACTAAACTAACTACTAAACTAAATAACAACCGAACTAACTAAACTAACATACTAACTAACTAACTACTAACTAACTAACTACTAATAACTAACTAAAAACTAAAAACTAATAACTAAATAACTAACTAACTAAATAACTAACTAACTAACTACCTAACTAACTAACTAACTAACTAACTAACTAATGACTACCGTTACGACTGGACTAACTAACCACTACCTAACTAATTAATTAAACATCTTGAAACCTACATTACATCAGGTTCCTTTTTTCAAATTTGTTATGCCATCAGACCGTCCGATACGAACGACTCAAATATGGACTAAAACGGGTGTTTTCAAAACTTTAGGATAGCACATTTCAAAAAACCTTATGTAATGGAGCAATCCCGGGGTCGGATTATGATTCAAACGCGCTTAATCATTTAGATAAACTTAGGCTCTGGGTTTTGATTTATGTTCAAATTTCGCGTTGGTCTGTTATTTAACACGAACAATTTTCAATTTAACGGTATTCGTTTACACCAAACAAAAAAAATCACTTCTTGAAATAAACACCACTGTCATCGTTCAATGACATTCTTCATTTACTCGTACTTACATTGTACAACATTCCGCAATTGGCAACAATATTTGGCACATAATTCGACAACATATTCAATGCCGGCAACTTAAAATCCCACAAGAAATAATTTATACTCTTGGTCAAAAATGCCGATTCATTAATGGTGATGGCATTGAAGGCATGTCTCACTAGAAAAACCCAATCGTGCAATTTGGCGGCAGCACCCAGTAATACAAGATTTGGCAAAATTATCGTTTGATTGAGTATATCGGGTGAGCAACTTGCCTCCGGATCAAAGTAGGTTTCGCCATAACGTATCTTACGATATGTTAGGCTATCGTGTGATTGATGTTTAATCTCATTGTGACCCTTTATAGCATACACAATAGGACCAACTTGTTGGACTTTTAGACGTGTATCGGTACCATTTAGAAACTCTGCCGAATTGGTAACATTAAAGAGGTAGACTTTCAAACGGCCATAGGGAGATGTTATCCAATTTGCCTGTGAAGGCATGCCGCTACGAAAACGTACATGTTCTTTGGCCAGCTCCCATTGATAGTCCACATTTAAGGAGATGAAAAATAGCAGAGTGGCGGTAGTACCCACTATAGATAAAGTAATTAATTTGCCTATGAAGATATAAAAGTGGACCGGTTAGTCTTATGCCTTTAAATTTAGGTGACACAAAATATTTATTTATTTAAAAAAAAAAAGTTTTGCTAACACATTAAACATTTCCGTCCAGACATCTCCACTGATCTACGTTTAGATTAATTCACCGTTAGGTTTTTTTTTTTAACAAAATAATTATAAACAAAATTAAAAAAATAATACTTCGAGACTATTTTTTTTTGAAACCAACTACAACAACACCGTTAGACGTCTTTACGTTTAGGACGTTATTTGTATTAGGACGCGTAAAACACTACTAAGGTATTGGGCTCAGTTTAAGAAAGATTTTAATTCAGAAAAAGCACTGTCTGTTGAGAATTGTATGAAATAAAAACAAAATCATTTTGAAATTTTATAGGAAGCAACAACAAACATGAGTTTTATTCTTATCATCCGATGTTTAGGTCTTCTTTGGCAAACGTTGTCGTCGTTTACACTCGAAAAATATCAATTATCAGTTTAAATGAGCTGTTATTAAACGAGGTCATTTAAGGGGGGTTTTAAGGAATATATCTGGTCATTTTACAACTTATAAACAAAAAAGATCTTGATTCAAAATATCTCTTAATCCTTCATTTTGGAATATTATTTTGTCAAGGTTAATATAGCCTTTTCTTATTAATAAAATATAGGTCAACAGTTTAAAAGTTTATATCTTCAAGGTTTAAAATAACGAGAACTTTCAGACTCCAACAGTGTCCTATCATTTTTAGATTAGTTTAAAGAGTTACAAAGTGATAAAGTCAAACTGCACCGATATGGAATTCTCAGAGAAATATCTATTAAAAGATGGAAAAGTAGAGAAGAATTTAGCTCTATCAAAATTTTACTTTAAGACAATTTAAGTTATATATTTGATTAGATTTTCATTTTATACCATTTTTTCACTCTGAGTGTATAGATGGATGGGTCTCTGACAGTCTCTGCAGTTCTAAACTGGCTTATCACTAATTGAACCGCATTTCATTCTTATCATGTCAGCTTAACCACAACAAAAAAAGAGAAGAAACTTTCTCTTGTTGTTGTACAACAAGTTCCTATAGATTATATATAGTCATTAGTTGTAATGTTGTTGTAGGACCTATACAAATTCTAGATGATAGTTTTGAGCTTGTGTTATTTTTTTTTAACTAAAGTTTACTTTACACTTGAAATAGTGTTTGAAAATAGGAATTATCAATTAAAATTAAAAATCAAAACAAAACAAATCAAATGTACACCAACCATCATTGAAGCATAATTTTATAGTAGACGATCGACGTACGATCTTCTTCTACTTAAGTACTATATAGTTCAAGAAAAAAATAAATAAAATAAAATATTATCAACGCAGACACAATAAAAACAAATTATGCGTAAAAAATCCATAAGATGCGACATGAAGTGGGTGTGTAATAAATCATTTGCAAGCGTTTAATTATGACGACTTAAAGATACGCTAATCCGGCCATGGTACCGGATTCGCTACCGAATGGAAATTTTGCTTGCGATGTGACCTCTAAATAGCCAGACAATGGATTTTTATATTTTCACTCAAGAATCGAAATTTTTGGCAAATAAAAGTGATCACAGATTTTAACCCTTTTGGACCTAGATCCTCTAGTTTAGCCAGCAAATGGAC